TGGGCACAGTCAGGGTGCAGGTGGAAACCAGAAGTCCCATCCAGCTAGGAGGGGACCAAGGAGGAGGCAGGTACATGGGGATCTGCAAAGGTGTGAACACTCAGCCTGTAGAGTGGGTTAGGGCCACAGTGGGAGGACCTGGAGTGTCCCCAGGCCCCCCACACTGGAAAATRCTGGACATGCTATCTTTCATTTTTCCTCCTTTTTCTGGTAGCCAGGGATTGAACCCAGGGGCGCTTAACCACTGAGCCATACACCCAGTCCTTGAATATTTTATTTAGAGACTGGGTCTCAGTGAGTTGCTTAGGGCCTCGATAAATTGCTGAGGCTAGCTTTGGTCTAATTTCAGAGATCACCATGCAATTAGACCAGGGCAACCCAGCCATCGGGTTCCAGTGTAAAGCCTGGGCTGAGACACGCTGGTTAGATCTTGGCGTGGTGGATAGAAATTAACCAGTATGCCCTGCACACTCCTGCCTCAGCCTCCTGAGCCACTGGGATTACAGATATGYGCCACCAAGCTCAGCTTGCTGGGCATGCTCTTATTTCTTGTTATTAGAACCTGTTGAAAACAGGGAGCTCCCAACTCTTATCAGTTATTCACACCTTAATAAGGAATGTATTAGGGGAATGTGGCTGCCACGTTGGGATGGGTGCCAGAGAATGGGGTTGGATCTGGGGTAGCCACTCTTAAATGCCAGGGAAGGTGTAAGGTGTGTTACCTCCATGTTTCTGGGCCTCTAAAGATAGTTCTCTAGCATCTCCTTCCAGGCAGGTGGGTCACACATGCCTTAGAGCCCAGAGTTTCTTCCCATGGTGTCCTCACCTTCTAGGTCTGCGCCCTCTGCACAGCCCGCTAGGAAGCTACCACCAGAGGGCACTGTAGGCCAGCCAGGGCCGCGACCTCGCCACGCCAGAACCCGCCCCCTACCCCMGGGACCCTCAACCCTTAGCATGTGATCCGCGCATAAGCCTGAGTTAGTTCAAGGAGTCAGAGTTTGGGGCCTTCCCCATCCATGTCTGGGACGCACCGGCAGGTGACTCCGCCTTCCAGGGTGTAGCCTGTTCAGAGCAGCATTTCCCAGCTTCACCAGGAAGCCTGGACAAAATGCAGATTTCCTGATCTTGCCAACTGACTCTCCATACTGATGCTCCTTGGACCTCAGGAGAGCTTCCAAAATACTGGTGCCAGACCCTCCTTCAGAGATCACCATGCAATTAGACCAGAGYAACCCAGCGATCGGGTTCCAGTGTATAGCCTGGGCTGAGACAYRCTGGTTAGATCTTGGCGTGGTGGATAGAAATTAACCAGTATGCCCTGCACACTGAATTTGAAAGGCAGTGCATTACTGCCCACTTGGACTTTGGGCAGTCTATGCATTCATTCACCCAGTCCACATACTCCACTTTCATTTTTGCAGCCCCATCCTATGCTACCAGGCTTTGAGGGCCCTCAAGAGTTGGTACATGAAACCATAGGGTATAATCACACCAAACCATTGATTTTCTGACTTATTTTTTTAACTGACCCGTTGGCCCTGCAACACTTCCCATGCCAGAAAAGTATTTAACCAGCTCCCCAGTTGCTGGGTCTTCTGCTTGATTCCGGTTATTCCCAATTAATCCACTTAGAGAGGTGGGCATCCTGGACAACCTCCCAGGGCCTGTAGGCAAGCTTCCTCAGTAGCTCCGGGTTGGAAAAGGGACTACAGGCTAGGCCATGGGGTAGTTGCACATTAGTTGCCCACCTGCAGCCCAATCAGAAGGCGAGAGGAGTCCAGTGTGCAGCAGACAGGCCCACTTCCTTGAGCATGTGGGGTAGGTCACAGTAGGTGCTATTTCCTAAGCACCTACTGTGTGCTCAGCTCATGCCATGAACTTGTGAATATCACGGTCATCATCATTGTCTACAAGGCATCATGCTCATCCCCATTGCACAGTAGAGGAAATTAGGGCTCTGGGAGGTTGTCACTCACCAAGGTCAATAGGAACATACAGGATTTGAACCCCAGGCAATCAGCAAAGCTATGTTCCTGCCACTAGGTCCTGCTGTACCATGTTTCCCAGCCCAGTACAGGAAGGGTGCTTTGCTTTGCTCTTGCAGTGGAGGCTGATGTTGATGCTGCTCACATCTTCACTTGGTAGGTGCGGGGAGGGGGGGAAGTGCCTGTTTCCAGGCCCCCGGATCCCAGTGAAAGTGTGGCTCAGGGCCCAGCCACGAGAGGCATTTCCTGAGGCCTCTGGGTCAGGTCTGGCACCCACCCAATGACTGGAAACAGGTCTAGAGCTGTGCAGTCTTCCAGGCAACTTGGCAGGGTCCCCAACAGCTGCTTCCCCATCCCAGGTCTCTTGAGGTGGACCCCACAGGCCTTGTCCTATCCTTTTTGCCTAGCACTACTGGACATCAGCATTGGCACTGTATGGAGGCCCCCAGAACCAGGAGCTCCACAAGGCAGCAGGAATTGATGGTTCCATTTTACAGATGAGGCCAGCCAGATGAAAGAACTGATCCAGATGACACTGTGGGTAGCAAAGTGGAACTCAAATTTCACATCCAATTCCTGGTCCCATGCTCTTCCCACCACCACCCAGTGCCTCAGACTGAGAGCACTTAACCCCCTGAGGGGCATTCCTGTTCAAAGCCCACTACAGATGGCCTCATGAGGGATCTTGGGGCCTGTGTGTGTTGTGGGGACGGGAACCCCAGGCAGCATCTCTGGATTCTCACAATCCGTGTTCCCTAGCCCAGCCCCCATCTTCCCCACCTGAAGGTCCCTCCCAAGGGGCTAAAGGTCTCTCCCAAGGGGCTGAACGTCATTTTGGGGGTTTTCATTGCTATTCTGGGTGCCCAGGTGGCCCAACACAGGCATAGCAGGGGGGTAGGGAAGGGAAGTTCAGCTTCTATCCCTGCAGCCCCCTCCCCTTACCAGCCCTGGCCCAGATCCAGTCCTCTCCAGCTGTGGAAACTTGTACCTCATCCCAGAAGAATGAACTTGCTGGCAGTCAACTGCTGGGCTGCTAGGATCAGCCAATCAGGCACTGAGCAAGCCTCGCCTACCTCCAGGGACAAAGGGCCCTGCCAAAGACCTGTGCCCCAGAGAGCAGGGTGGGAGCAGTCGCAAGAAGGGAGAGGCAGAGGGGAAGGCCCTGGAGAGCCAGGACAAAAATGGCTGCAGTCCATTTTGTCTCTTGGAGCCAGGTTCATTCACCTGAGCAACCAGCACTCTGGAGCACACCTCTTGGCCTGGCCTAGGTACTTTGCATTTTCTTTCTTCCTTTTTTTTTTTTTTTTCTTTTGTACCAGGGAAAGAACTCAGGGCTCTTGGCCACTGAGCCACATCCTCAGCCCTATTTTGTATTTTATTTAGAGATAGGGTCTCATTGAGTTGCTGTGGGCTTTGCTCAATTGCTGAGTCTGGCTTTGAACTTGCGATCCTCCTGCCTCAGCCTCCTAAGCTGCTGGGATTGTAGGCATGCAACATCACACCCAGCCTCTGCATTTTCTTACCTTCCTCTCCCACCCTGCCTTCCCCTTCCCCAGGTAGGCAAGGGCTTCTGAGAAATAGAATAACATTCCCCTGTCTTTTGGCTATTCTGGGGTTTAAATCCAGGTGTACCTGAAAGCTGAGCCGTTTCCTTCCTCTTCCTGGTTCTCTTGCCTAGTCTAGGGCCAACCTCCAAGCCTTTCTTTTCTTCCTCCTATATTGGAGATTGAATTCAGGGGTCTTTAACCCCTCACACACACTGCCTATTCCTTTTTTGTAACAGGGATTGAACCCAGGAGCACTTAACCACTGAGCCACATCCCCAGCCCTTTATTTATTTATTTATTTATTTATTTATTTATTTATTTATTTTGTGTGTGTGTGTGTGTGTGTGTGTCTGGGGGGTTTCTGGGGATTGAACCCAGGGCCTTATGCACGAGAGGCAAAGCACTCCACCAACTGAGCTATATCCCCTGCCCCCCTTTCTTATTTTTGATTTAGAGACAGGTTTTCGCTAAATTGCTCCGGGCCTTGCCAAGTTGCTGAGGCTAGCTTTGGACCTGCAATCCTCCTGCCTCAGCCTTCCTGGTCACTGGGATTATAGGCATGTACCACTATGTCTGGCTCCACCTACCCCTTTTGAAACAGGGTCTTAGTTAAGTTATCCAGGTTGGCCTCAAACTTTGATCCTCCTGCCTCAGTCTCCTGAGTCAGTGGGATTACAGGTGTGTGCCATTACACCTGGTTAAGCCTTTTTTTTTTTTTTAACCATTTTCTATGTTATGCTGGGGATCAGATCCAAGGCCTTAAGCATATTAGGCAAGTGCTGTACTACAGAGCTACACCCTGAGGTCTAAGCTTTTGTTCACGTTCTGGGCCTGGCCTCCATTTCTCTTCATTTCCAGACTGGCCCTCACTCTCCAGGTGGACCCACCTCCTCCCATCACCCCACAGAGACATCCGGGGCTYCTGCAGCCACCCAAAAAAGCCTCTGCTTTAGGCCCAAGGCTGAAGGGCCAGAGGAAACACATAAATAAAAACACATTTGCATGAAGGCCCGGGGCTCTGCATCTGAAGCTAACAGTTCAGTTAACTTCTGGGATAGGGCTACCAGAAGTGAAAGCAGCTGCTACCAGCCTTCTGGGACAAACATGTCCCCGTAGCCAGGTTGGTGCCATTCAATGTTTATTTAGATACACAAATAAAAGAACCTGGTGGTTCAAACAGCTTGTGT